CAGAAACAGTAACATTGCTTCTACCAACAATTAGGCCAAAAGTATTTTTAGGCAATGGTCCAAAAACTCCTGTAGGTATAAGTTGAACTCCCATATCAGGGTTGATAACAAAATATTTGGATGAACATAAATCTAGTCCTGTGCTTCCTGCGGAAGCTCAAATGAGGGAAGAAATGGATCTGCCTTGGTATTTATAGCCCCGAAGTAATTTTTCGGGGCCTGGGGTTGGCCCCTCCTCATGCTTCCCAAAATAAGGGCATTACCAGAAGCATCAAATTTGGATTTAMAATCTCTTGCCTAATGCCTACCCTTTTTTACACCGTGGAAAAACATCCAGTTGTTTTGATTGAGAAGAAGAATTTCACTTAGGACATTGAAAACTTTTATGACAGGGGCTATTACATTTAAAGCAATTGCTTGAGTGTTGTCTTTTATTCAGTGTCATTACTTCAGCTATACTTTTGCCTTGCATGGGTGCAGCAAGAGTTACTCCCTGCAAGTATGAAGTGCCTATATCAGCACATAACCTTACATAGTCAGATAAGGTATCTTTCTTCTTCCAAGGTCTAATAGCAGTCTGGCATGCAGTATTGGCATTTTCATATGCTAGCTGCCAAGCCAATAGCATTCCTGCATCAGCATCACTTATTAATTTGCTGATAGCATCCAGTAATCTAGCAACAAAGTCTTGATAAGGTTCATCAGACCCCTGCATAATTTGAGAAAGTTCCTGAGTTTTTCTATTGGAAGAAAGTAATCGTTTCCAGGCTGCTTGAGTTGCAGAGTTAATTTGAGCATAGACTCCAGGAGGATATTGAAGTTGATTTTGAATATGAGTAAATTGACCTTCCCCAGTGAGCATCTCATAATTCACATTATTATTTTCCACTCTATTGTGTTCAGCAGTTTCATGACAACGTTCTGCAAATTCAGATTTCCATAAAAGATAGTCGCCACTGGAAAGACAAGCTTTAGCCAATTGTTTCCAATCTTCTGGAGGAAGGGCATCAGAAGCCAAAGATTGAAGAATAGCTTCAGTAAAAGGAGCAGTTGGACCATACTGAGAACAAGCGACTTTTAGGTCTCTCAATTGTTTAAGAGTTAAAGTAACATATTGTTGTTGGCCTTATGCATTAACCAAAATAGGATAACAAGTAAACTCTGAAACATCGTCCCCATTCAATTTTGCTTCCCCTATAACTCGCTGCAAAGGAGATTGCTCAATAGGCAAATTATTTTTATCTAAGGCGGGCAGGGGAAGAGAGGAAAACCCAGCACACACATTATGCTATGTTTTCTTTTTTTTTTTTTTTTTTTTGCTGAATTGTCAAATTTAGTTTGTAAAGCAGCCAATAAAGCAGTAACATCTCGAAGAACAGGATCAGACAACACAGAGGAAGGAGACAGTGGAGAAGGACAAGAATTGGACGTCACAAAAGGGTTAGTCGAAGAGATGATAGTTTTATTAACAGTATCATCCTGTTTTTCGATTTCTGCCATAAAAATTTTATTATCATCTTGTCTAATATGATTTAATTCAGTTTGATAATCAGGGGGAAGAGGAGCAGATGGTTCAGTGACCAATTTCTCTCCAACTTGTGCCCATTTTTTATTTTCATGCGCAGGATGCAAGCTGTCTCTAATTAAGGTCCACAAAGAGAAAGTATCAATTGGCACCTTCTTTGGACCAAACAGAGTATAATGTACATTCGATTCTTTTCCAACTTTCTCCCAGGTAGACAAATTTATTGTCCTTTCCTTTGAAAACCAAGGACAAATCTCCTCTATAAACAATTAAAAAAATGCTCAAGCTGAGAAGAAGAAACATTCATTTTGCCAGCGGCAAGTTAACTTTTTAAGACTTGTATAAACAAGACCCAGCTATTGCTGTTACCCATTTTTAACTTCCACAATAACAAATGACTATTCACCCATCAAATACTCACTTGGACGTCCTCTCTATTGGGTAAAGGCCCCTTTTCTACTATCTGTTTAACTCCGGTTCACGATTCCCAGGTTTTGGCACCACTTGTGGCACACTAGACACCACCTAGTCCTGAAAAAGAGGCTTGGGGAGTGGAAGGACAGAAGCCAAACTCAAGGTGAAGCAACTGCAACTTTATTCAGCCGTGCTGCATATTTATACAGTTTTCATACTAAAGGAACATTTGTGCACCATATGGTATTTTAAGATATCAAAAACAGAAACAAAGCAAAGAATAGTTTACTTATGAACTCCTTACAATGTACCGCCAAGTTTCCCAAGGACAGAATAACATCCCATTATCAAGAGAACATTACAAGGAAGAGCCATAATGAGAATCAGAGCTATGTTCCTCAAGGCACTGACCTGACTAAACAGGCACATGTCCTTAAAGGAACACTGCAGGAGCAGGCAGTTCTGATGAACTCATTCCCACACGGGCAGCTCCTCACATTTATTTATATATGTATATGTGTGTATGTATATATATATATATATATGTGTGTGTGTGTATACACACACACACATACACATACCAGCGATTGAACCCGGGGTGCTTAATCGCTGAGCCACATCTCCAGTCTTTGTTATATTTTCTTTAGAGACAGGGTTTTGCTGAGTTTCTCAGGGCCTCAGTTGCTGAGGCTGGTCTCCAACCTGTGGTCCTCCTGCCTCAGCCTTCTGAGTCCCTGGGATTACAGATGTGTGCCACCATGCCCCATGAGAAAGATCTAAGTGATAAATTAGTTCTGACTTTGGAACATGGGACTGACTCCAAAATGCTTAGAACAACTTTCTCTCTCTTTCTCCGTAGCACCCCTGAGAAGAATTCTTAGGATTTTATGGTTTCTATATTGAGCTTTACCCCAATGTCTTGCTCAGGACTGGTTTTTATGATCTTAGGGATTAAGGTACTCATCAGAATATTTGTTATGATCATGTAGCCTTGGTTTCAAGACCTGCCTCTACCTCTTACTATTA